TACTACGACTAAGACTACTACTACTACTACTACTACTCCTACTACACCTACTCCTACTACTACTACTACTACTACTACTACTACTACTACTACTACGGCTACTACGGCTACTACTACTACTACTACTACTACTACTACTACTACTACTACTACGACTACTACTACTACTACTACTTCTAGACTACTACTACTACTACTACTTCTAGTAGTAGTAGTACTGCTACTACTATTACTACTACTACTACTAGTACGACTACTACGACTACGGATAGTAAAGAATCATACGGATCATAGTGGACATAATGATACCAATTGTGAAAATAGTACTTCTGGTGCGAATGAGGATGAGGATGAGGATGATGATGATAATGAAGGAGATGATGTGAGAGAGACAGACAGAGAGAGAGAGAGAGCTGGACCCTCTCTGTCCGCCTCACTGGCCCGCCACGGCCCCCTGACAAGCAGCCTCGTCTCAAGTCGCACAGCTCGAGCTTCTTGAAGGGACGACTTCGGTGAAGGTTCCTCTCTTCTCCCTCCTCTCCATCCTCGGGCCCATAATGACTGCTTGGTGTTGTCCATGTTGCGTCATTTGTTTATGCTCATGCGCCCGTGCGCAAGCTAGCGAGATTGCGCACCTAGTCCCCGCAACCCCATCGGTACCAGGATCCTTCTCGGCTTGAACCGTGGTAGCTGTGGCCCAAAATGCTCAGCAACGCTGGGTTGCGCAAGAGAGCCTGGGCCACTACCGGGGGACGGTCTGTTCCTCGTCCTGCCTCTTCCCCCCGTTCCATTGGTTGGTGCGCAGCATGCCGGAGGCCCTCCCCCTCTCGGTGGGGGGGCCGTCGGATCTCGTGGAGCGGCATGGACGGACTCCCGAAGGGGGAAGAGCGGGGTGAAGGACCTCAGCGTTAGAAACAAAAGAAAGGTCCCAGACGACGTGTTGCGTACGTAAGTCTTTCGGAAGAATGTCGACGCACCACAAATTGCACACAAAGACGGCGCGTACGAGGAGAGAAGCTGAGACAGCAAGTCCGTATCCGTTTTGGCTCAGGTGCCGTCGTTTTAGTTATCAGTGTGGTCATCTGCCACGTGGTGAAGGAACATTTTGTGGTACATGTGTTCGCAATTCCGCAGTGGCTAATGCGTGCGTGGCGCAACCATCGCCGAGCCAATTAAGTCGGGACAGGAGAAGCGTGTTCGATATTATGTTTATGTCCGCCCCATCTAAACAAGGTGATCCATGTCGTGTTCCTTTGGTGAGATCCGAGACAATTGCTGCCTGCTTAGCACAGCAAAGGATGCCTTTCGTGCTGGACTTGAATGTCGACTGCGAAGCGGCAGAGAGTGATGATGACAGATATGATGATTTCCTCAAAAAGTTAGGCTGGACCTCGAAGCCATCATTCGCGACACCAGAGATTTCTTCTGCGAGAGGTCCAAATACAGCAAGCACGAAGGCTGCAGAAGCCCACGAGATTTTCCGCCGATGTCCGTTAGCTATGTCCGCGTGCTGGCATGCCTTGTTGACTCCTGACGGGCTGGTGGGAGCATATTGTCGACGGAATTTCAGTGTCGTTTCCAAAGTTGGAATCGATATTTCACCTCTCGCGTGGACTTCGACTGCAATTGATCGATTGCTTGCGCCGAATGGCGAAAGCAACATCTCTGCGGCCGACGATGTCGGTACATCTTTGTTGGCAAGTTGCACTCCGCCTCGGCATTACGCTACAGAAGACCTTGCTGGCGGTCTGGAAGAGGCGCTGAATTATTTTTACAACGATTTCGAAGCCACGAGCGCGCCCACCGAAATCACCCACCCTCTTCTTCTGCGCCATGCTTCCGCAGCAAAGGGTGACAGAGTGGAGAATGGCAGTTCACCTCCAGGTCCTTCACTCGGCGGCGCGCCCGGGGGGAAGTGAGAGGGGGTGGGCCGTCTCGGAAGGCTCAGGGAGCCTCTGGCCTGTGAGAAGTTCTCTACGCCTTCTCCGCAGGCACGGACGGCTTCTCAAAAGGCCGGAGGGTTTCTGAGAAGCCCCGCCGCTTTCTCGGAAGGCTTGCCTTAAGTCGGGCCTGCCCCTCTACAGGAGGGATATCCAAAAATAGTGAAAAAATAGTCTAAGAACGATTTTTGGTATTATTTTTAATTATTTTGAGATCATATTTTCTGTATTTGTCGTTTTTCGCCCAGAGTGCCCCTCTAGGGGGAAAGGCCCGACCTAAGGCGTGTCCCCTCTCCACCTCCCCCCTCGGCACGCCGCCGATGCACCAGCGATCGGAGTCTATCTCCACGGGCGCTTGCCCACGCCGCAGGAGCGTGGCGTGGCCGCTGCCAGCAGCGAGGTGGCCGGCGCCGACGAGGCTCTTCTCCGAGGCAGCGTGTTCGAGTCTCTCCGTCTCAACTCGGCGGCGCGCCGAGGGGGGGAGTTCGGTAGCAAAGCATGGGAGCTGGGTGTACCCTCCGAATTCCGTCTTTCGCGTCGACCAGCGTCGATTAGCATTTGGGAGTCGATGAGATAGCGCCGATGCAACGTCGGCGAGCTTCGATGAGCGTCGATTTAGCGCGGTTTAGCGTCGTCTAGCGTCGACTAGCGTCGATCAGCGTCGATTCGCGAGAGCCGACAAGATGGGCATGGGAGGCTCCCATGAGCCGCCACCGACAGGGAAGTGAGAGGGGGCAGGCCTTCTCAGAGGGCGGCGGGGCTTCTGAGAAGTCCTGCAGCCTCACGAGGAGCCATCTCTGGCCGTGGAGAATGCCATCGGAAGTTGTTGTCGGAAGGCTTGAGTCGGGCCTGTCCGTTCACAGGAGGAATCTCCAGAAATAGTAATAAAAAATAGTCTGGGGACTATCTTTGGAGCATTCTTTGACCACTGTTGAGCACTTTCGGGGTATTCTCCAGCTTTCGTCGAAAATCCCCGTGTAGAGGGACACGCCCGACTCAACGGAAGGCTGGGGATCCGAGAGCCGCCTGCGAAGGCCCGCCGCCCCGGCCTTCCCCCCCTCTGGACGCGCGCCGCCGGCCAACCACCCCCACGTCTTCGGGGCGGTGTCGTACCGCACGTCCCTCTACGCGAGCCGGCGCGGGATGCAGACGAACCTGCACTGCGACCAGCACAGCGGCTTCCTGGTGCAGGTCGTCGGCTCGAAGCGGGTCGTGCTCGTGGGGGCGGGGCCCCCCTCCGACGTCGCGGCCAGGGAGGCGCGGAGGGCGCTGCGCTGCAGGCACTGGGGCGATCTGCGTGCCCCCGTGAATCGCAGGTCTTGGCACCACGACGGCCTGCCAGACGTGCCCGTGGCCGATTGGGCGGGGCTCGCGAACGGCGGGCCTTTTGGGCCGAGCAGTTTGGGAGCGAGGATTGGGCTGGGGCAGATCGCGGAGGTCGAGCTGCAACCTGGGCAGGCGCTCTACATACCCAAGGGGGTGTTCCACGATGTGCTCTCAAGGGGCGTCGATGGCCTGCAGTCGGACGAGACGCTGGGCCTCGTACTCAGATGCTTCGACTGAACTTATGGCGTGGATCAGCCTCATCGGAGCAAATCGCGGAGGTCCAAGTGCGGCCTGGAATGGCGCTCGCCCTACCCACAGGGGCGTTCCACGACGTGTTCTTGCCAGGCGTCGATGGCCAGCAGTCAGACGGGGCGCTGGGTCGGATGAGGTGTTTCGTCTGAGCTCGTGGCGCGGAGCGGATTTCAAAGACCACGCAGATGTGAGAACGGGGCTAGCATTCGACGAAGGTCGAGACATATTGAAGAGAGAGAAAGAGATAACACAAACAGAAGCCTTGTATCGAGGGGAATGAGGCCGGCACCTGGTTACAGCCGAGGGGGATTGAACAGGAGCAGAGACAGATCAGGATAGCCAAGGAAAGGGGAGAGGTGGAGGAGGAGGAGGAGGAGGAGGAGGAGGAGGAGGAGGAGGAGAGCCTTTCGCACCTTTCCTTTGATGGAACCCCTGAGTGCAAGCTCAACCCCACCTGGAGGAGGAGGAGGAGGTGGAGGGGTAGAAGGAGGAGTAGGATCACGACGAAGAGGCATGGATGACGGGGAAAGAGACGGAGGAGCATGAGATGGAACAAGGAGGGGGAGGAGGAGGAGGAGGAGAAGGAGGAGGAGGAGGAGGAGGAGGAGGAGGGGGAGGAGCAGCAACAGGAGCAGCAGCAGGAGGAGGAATAGCAGCATGAGGAGGACGAGCAGCAGCAGGAGGAGGAGGAGGAAGAAGAGGATCAGGAGGAGGAGCGGTAGGACAAAGGACAGGCGGGGCGGGTAGGGGAGGGTTTCATTGACGCCTCGGGAAGGGGGGTTGCAGAGGGGGGGGGGGGGGGAGGGCGGCGAGGAGGTGGTGCAGGGTGAGAATGCGGACGACAATGAGGTGGTGCAGGGGGAGGTGGTGCAAGGGGAGGCGAAGGACGACGACGGTAAGGTGGAGGGCGACGACAATGAGGCGGATGACGGGGACGATCAGGAGGGTCGGGGGAAGCAGGCGGATGGGCAGGAGGAGGGCGAGGAGAGGCTCGGTCGAGAGGAGAGGCTCGTCCACCCCGTGGATCCCAGGCGCCCTCTGCGACGATGCGCTGCACCGGGAAGCGCCGCCGCGTCGCCTCGTCGTCGTCCGCTCCTCCTCGCTCTGTCAGTCCCGCTGTAACCGCGAGGAAGAGGAGGAGGAGGAGGAGGAGGAGGAGGAAGAGCAGGAGGAGGAGGAGGAGGCGGAGGAGGCGGAGGAGGAAGAGAAGGAGAAGGAGGGGGGGAGGGAGGAGGAGGAGGAGGAGAGGAGGAGGAGGAGGAGGAGGCGGAGCAGCAAGAGGAGGAGGAGGGGCGAGCTTATTCTCCGCCGAGAGACAAGGAGGAAGGAGGAGGAGGGGAGGAGGAGGAGGAGGAGGAGAAGGAGGAGGAGGAGGAGGCGGAGCAGCAGGAGGAGGAGGAGGGGCGAGCTTGTTCACCGCCGAGAGAAACAGAGGGGGCAGTGCAAACCCAAAGGCCTCCAGAGGTTATTGTGTAGTCCGTCTTGTTGCCGTCGTTCTCGACTTTCTGACCAGTCTCCCGCCCCCCCTGCCCCCTTGCCGTTGGGCCTCGCCGTGGGCCAACAGTGTTGTTTGAGGCGTTTCTCCTGTGGGTCCTCGCTCCAGATACACCAGGAGGGCACTTGCTGCTCACCACTATCCTCTTTTCCCTCTCCTCCCCTTACTTTCTCTGTCTACCTTTCTTTCCCGTTCTCTCTAAGTATTTCTCTCTCTCTCTCTCTCGCTATCTCTCCCTTTGTGTTCCTCTTCCCTCCTTCTGCTCGCTCATGTTGGCTCGCGCATCTTGGTGATGCCAAACGTTGGAATACCCCTCACTCTTACCCCGCAATTGCGGATAAGAGTGAGGGGGCGGGCGCCGGCGACACGGGCGTCGTCGAGCTGGCGGACCTAGTGCCCCCCACCTTCCTTGTCGATGGCGCTCTCCTCCTCCTCCTCCTCCTCCTCCTCCTCCTCCTCCTCCTCCTCCTCCTCCTCCTCCTCCTCCTCCTCCTCCTCCTCCTCCTCCTCCTCCTCCTCCTCCTCCTCCTCCTCTTTCTCCCCATTATCCTTACATCCTCTCTTCTTCCGCGTCCCCCTCGTTCCCTGTTTACTCCTCCTGCCTCCCCCTCCTTTTCCCAAGATCACGGGAACGCAATCTTCTGTTCCACTTTATGCTCCCCGACTTCTCTGATCAAAGCAACTCGCCAGGGCAAAGCTGCTGGACGGCTTGGTGTGGATGCGTGGGGCTTGAAGAGGTCGTTGCGGGCTCAGACGGCAGACAAAAATCCGCCGCCGCGCTTGTGCGGCATTGGTTTGTTCAGTGAACGTGGCTTGGGTCGCGGGCTGGGTCGCGGGCTCTCGACCTCCACTTGGACGGAATGCAAAAACAGCCCGCCGCAGGCGCCGAAAAAAATGGTTTGTACACTGAACGTGGTTTGGGTCGCGGGTTGGCCGCGGGTTTTCCACCGGGAACGAATGCAGAGGATGCCCGCCGCAGGCACCGATAACATTTGTTTGTGCCCTGAACGTGTTCGCGGGGGGGGCGCGTGCTCTCCACCTGAAACGAATGCAAAAGATGCCCGCCGCAGGCGCCGAAAAATGTGGTTTGTACCCTGAACGCGGTTTGGGTCGCAGGTTGGTCGCGAGTTGGTCGCGGGGTGGGTTGCGGGCTCTCCACCTGGAAGGAGTGCAAAAAACCAGCCCCAGGCGCCAAAAATGGTGCGGGTGGGTCGCGAGGTGGGTCGCGGGTGGGTCGCGGGTGGGTCGCGGGTGGGTCGCGGGTGGGTCGCGGGTGGGTCGCGGGTGGGCCGCGGGCGGGTCGCGGGGTGGGTCGCGGGTGGGTCGCGGGTGGGTCGCGGGCGGGTCGCGGGGTGGGTCGTTGGGTGGGTCGCGGGGCGGGTCGCGGGTGGGTCGCGGGTGGGTCGCGGGTGGGTCGCGGGGTGGTCGTGGGGTGGGTCGCGGGGTGGGTCGCGGGTTGGGTCGCGGGTGGGTCGCGGGTGGGTCGCGCGTGGGTCGCGGGGTGGGTCGCGGGGTGGGTCGAGGGGCGGGTGGCGGGGCGGGTGGCGGGTGGGACGACGACAACAAGCAACAACAACAACAACAACAACAACAACAACAACAACAACAACACCAACACCAACACCAACACCAACACCAACAATAACAACAACAACAACAACAAACAACAACAACAACAACAACAACAACAACAACAACAATTACTAGCACGTGGGGACACTCCGTTCTCACCAGTGCCAGGGTTTTCATAGGAGGCGGGCAATACCCCCACTTTGTGGGGGGGCCGGTTCAAGCTCTACCAAATTTCCAAACGACTCTTCGCCACCACCCACACCCAGCTTCCCGCCCTATGACGTTCGGACACTTCACTTCGTGGCATGCGGACGACCGTGGCTACTATTCAGGGCCCCGCGGCCGACGACGACGGCGTGCGCGCGCGAAGAAAAAACGAATGTGTCCCGCATGGTATTATTTGACAGGGATGATGGCCCTGGCAGGTGCGCAACCGTTGTCGCAGAAGTTCGAAAAAGTTGCTCGCAAAAGCCCGTTTGACAGAAATGTTTAAAAAGTGTTGGGTTTCCTACGAATCCGCAAGAGCGCGCGGGATGAGATTTTGACATTTTTTTGTTGAAAAACCATTGGTTTTTTGATGTTTTTATGTTAAAATCGCTCCGAACACTAAGCTTTTGGAAGGATTTCGTCTTGCGCGCGCGAATGTCCACTTTACCTTATTTTTTGCAAGGGATTCTTGAAATTTGATTATATTAGAACAAGAAATGTCATTTTATAGTGTTTTTTGCAAGGGAAAACGGATTACAACAAAACAACCGGATCTTGATCACATCGTATTACCTGAGGCTTCCTCACGAAAATGATGAAAATGTAGCTGCGGCCAAGGCGGCGCAGGGGGGCCGTGCACCAGGGGCCCCAACAATAATTATTCTTTAGAATTAATAATGTTCAACAACAACAACAGCAACAACAACAACAACAGCAATAATCCGCACCGCGGAATCACGCTTCAGCCACGCACCCATGGACAGTGAACGACCGCTCGGCCCCTTCATTCTGATGTAAATGTCATTGCTTTTCCAGGGTGTCCAGCGGGGCGCGGGCACACGCAGATGCCGCTAGGGCTCCGCCCCCCAGGGGCCCTGCCAGGCGTGAGTTTGCCAGGGTTCTGCGAGGTCCCCGTGTATCCACCAGCCCATCCCGCGACCAGTGCATCGCTCGTGGTTGCGGGGTCTCGCGCTCAATCACCTCGACTGGCGTGGTGCGGTGTCGTCCGGTGGCGTGGGGTCGAGCCCGATGCGGCCAAGCGGCGCTGAGGCACGTGTGCCGATCTGGTGTTGCCAGTACTATCCAGCTACCTGTTGCAGGTATCGGCCACCGCGGCACCCCAGCATTCTGGGTGGAGAAAACGCGCGACAGCTCGTGTCTTCAGTCGTGGAGGGCCGTGATGAGGAGGATGAGGAGCAGGAGGAGGAGGAGGAGGAGGAGGAGGAGGAGGAGGAGGAGGAGGAAGGCCGTCGCGCGTGACGCCCTTCGTCTTCCCTGCTCGAGGAGCGCTTGTGGGCCTCGTTTTGGCCGCTTCGGGGGTCCCTCGGGCCGTCCTGGGGCCTGCTCAGGCCGTCTTGGGGCCCTCTCGGGCTGTCTTGGGGCCCTCTCGGCAGTACGGTGGGGTGCCCGGGGGGGGCCGTCTTGGGGCCGGCCAGGGAAGCCTTCTGAGGCCGTCGTGGGCCTCCACGGGAGGGGCCTGCGTGGGCCGTCTTGGAGGCCTCGTGGGGTCCTCGTGGAATCCTCTGTCAAGCAGTGGCGAGGCGTCCCAGCTTGCCTCCAGGCCTACCAAAGGATGCTCTAAGAGCCGTTCGTGGTCCGCACGAAATGCTATCAAAACATTTCTGGCTGGGACTGTCTTGTTTGAACACATCCGTTTTGCGTTCTAGGAACATTGTTGCTATTATTAGGCCGTTTTTTGGTTCTCAGAACATGTCGTGGTTGGCCTATAGGAATACCGGGACGGTCGGTCCCTGCTCAGTTATTGTCCCATCTTTGGACCCTCGTTGGGGCCTCTTGGGCCGTTTTAGGGCCGTCGAGGAGGCTTCTTGGCCCGTCTTGGGCTGCCGGAAGCCAGAACAGGCGAGAATGGCGAACCTCACCCCAAAAAAACGTGGGCAAGCAGTGATGCTGACTTGTTCGGGGGCCCTGTCGGAGGTCCTCGTGGGGCTCTCTTGGGCCCTCTAGGAGGCATCTGGGGCCGCCTTAGGGCCATAGTCGGCGACCTGGGGGCGCCCTGGCCCGTCCTCGCAGCATCTTGGGCCACCTTGGCTGCCTTGGTTGCCTTGGCTGCCGCCGTCTGCGTGCACGATGGCTCGGGGCCTCGAGCGTGCGCAGAGCCTGCGTGCTTTTCGTAATGGGGGGTCGTGGCCTCGGGTAGAGTCAGGCATGTTCCCCTCTACAGGAGGAGCATCGAAACATAGTCAAGAAAATGGATGGCGTCGATTGTCCTGTTCTAGCATTGCTGATGATTTGGGAATCTGTGTTGACTAGTTTCCGCCTTCAGGAGGACATGCCCGACCTAAGCCTGGGGACCAAGGGTGAGTCATGCAACTGTGTGCGACTGGAGGGGGGCGCCCTTATCAGAATGCAGAAAAATCGACTGCACATAAGAGTGGCCCTTCGCCGGAGTGACCTCTGGTGCGGGATCATCGGGCCCCCCCCGATCGCCGAGCGCGGTGCGACATCAGCGGCCCGCGCCCTTGGGTTTGGCTCCCTCGCGCGCCCCATACGCCGCGCATCTAAGGTCACGCTTACCCAGGGCCACTCTCACGCCTAGCCGGAGACACCGTCCAGATCAGCACCTGGCACTCTAACACGCCCACGTCGTGCATGCACGGTGGCAGATTCGATGTTCGGTCTGGCAACCCTTTATAGTGGACTGCTGAGCGCACAGCGTTGGCAAATCAAGGCGCGGGAGCACAAGCCCGTTCGTGGTGTCCGCTTCATCCCCCTGTTCACGCTCGTGCCATGCATGGGCAGCAACTCCCCCGCCAACGAAGGTCTCGTCC